AGAGACTGGAAGACTCACAAGTGAGCTTTGGGGATCCTAGTAACGCTCTGATTCTCCACCTGGGTGCTGGTTACGTGAGGACGTTTAGTTTGTGAAAATTCATCGAGCTACACGCTTAATGTTTCTGCACTTTTTTAAATGACCTTCCACACACCCCCTTTAAAAACCTTTCCCCCTGCAGCTATTCACCATCAGGAGATTGGTTTTTCTGTGTCTATGCACAAAGATATGTATAATCTGTAGCTTTAGAAAGGCAGTATTATGTCTTACATACCATTCCCCATCGTATTTTGTTTTTAGCTTAGTATGTCGAGGCGATCTTTTTGTTAACTGTAAACATAGATCCACATGATCGTTTTTTCACAGTTGCACAGTATTCTCCTGTGGGATGTGTCCTTTTGTAAACGGGTCCCCTGTTGGTGGGCAGTTAACTCCAGCATTTCATTGGTGTAAGTGATACTGTGGGGGACTTCTTCCTGCACATCTTTGTGTACTTTTGTGACTATTTGTGTAGAGTGAATTAGTTGGGGTGGAATATCTTGGTCTGAAGTGGTCACTTAAGTTAGTTAATCTGTTAATGGCTTGTTTGGTGGGTGGAAGCAGGGAGACCAGTTAGGAGGCTGTTAAAATAGTTTAAACTTGAGGTATTGAAGCTGGTTGGTTGTGAAAAGGGATAAGCAGGGGGAGATATAAGAGATATTAAGGGCAAAGACTTTGTATGCCTTGGCATTGATGGGAAAGGGGAAATGTCAGAGATGTCCTGGGGGTTCTGAGTCTAGGTGACTGGGAAGGTTGGAACACACATTGGAAAGAGTTGATGGAGAAAGTGGGAGCAGGGATGGGTGTGGCTTTGGCCAGCTTGCATCCAAGGAGCCTGCTCATCATCCAGGAGGTGATGTCCATAATGCAGTTGGAAGTGTTGCTCTCAGAGTTGAGGACTACAGATTGAGGCATAGGATTCACCTAGATGGTCCTGGTGTTGCTGGAAGGGGATGAAATCAACAAGGGGAGGATCTAGAGCAGAGAAAGAATCCAAAGACAGAATGGCGAGGCCCTAAATACAGGATGGTAGTAGTGATCAGGGACAGGAGGAAGCCTGCTAGAATTCACAATCACAGGCCAAAGAAGGAGGGATCTGAAGTGACTACTCAAGGGAGGAAGTAATCAGTGTTAGCTCCCCTCCTTCTGGCCCCCCAGTGGGTGTTATCATTACATCTTGTACTTGTCTTCAGAGCACTTACACACTTGTGATTAATCCATGTGATCATCTGTTCAATGTCTGCCTCTCTCCGCACTGTGAGCTCCATGGAGGCAGGGACCACACCACTCTCGCTCTCTGTCCCCAGCATCAGGCACGGTGTTTGGCACACAGTGGAGTTGGTTCCCTAAGTGTTTGCTGCCTCCTGCAGGAGTCTAGCCATCCACACACCCTCCCTCTCCCTTAAACCCACATACCACATTCTGCCCAAGTTGGGAGACGAGGGACTTAGGACCCTGCGGGAGAAAATTCAAGCTGCACAGTTTGAGTCTTGGGTGTAGCCAGTGTTAGTGGGTGGCCAAAATGGGTCACTCGAACTCCATTTATTTGGATGTCACCGTGGCCAGCCACAGAGTCCACAGGACTCCACTCCAGGCCTTGGCAGTGGAGCATCCTGATAACCTGGGATAATGAAGCCTCTCTTGTCAGTGGAGACCAGACTTAGAAGTGCAGTCAGCATCCCATGAACAGAAAGGCACTCAGTGGTTGTTTCTTGAGTTCCGGTGTTAGGGCTGAGACAAGGCCCTGGTGCATGGTTGGAGCCGTCGTCAGACTGGTTCAGCAAGCCCTGTGAACGGAGTGGAAGCCACGCTGTAAGAGATGGAAGTGTGTGGTTGGCGACATGGCGGGAGAGGCTATTCTATGAGAAATGTGTTGGTTGAAGCAGGTGGTGGAAGAAGTGAAGCCTTGAGCAGACTTGCAGGAGGAGTGGAAAGAGCCGAAGACGGAGAGGTGGCAGATTCAAGGTTCAGAGAGCACAAGGGGTGGGAGGAGTTTCCAGAGAGGATGGGAGGAGGAGGGATAGGGAGAACAGATGGCAGATCCGCCTTGGCAAGGAGGTCAGAGAAGAGGGAGGGTCGAGGGGCAGGTTGGAAGGTCTGATGGTGACGTTTGGAAGCGGGAAAGAGCAAATCAAGGAAACACATCTTTTCAGCCAAGTGGGAGACAGGTCATCTGTTGGGATGGATGGGGCTATGGCCTGGGGAGTGGGAAAACATTGGTCCAGGCACTTTGGGGAATGTAACTGCATGAGCAAGAGATGGCCAGTGGATAGCTTCGATGGTAGATCTTGTTGGTGTGGTTGGTACAACTATGGTCCCAGATTGGGGACTCACAAGGTGACATGTCAGAGGGAACATGCAAGACAGTTGGCTTGGGCAGATTTGGGGAGTTCTGGGAGGTCTTTCTCTGTAGCAGCTAAGGCTACTTTTGTTTGGCACCTACCATGTGCCAGGCGCTGTGGTAAATGTTCTATCGTTAACCCTCTCAGCAGCTCCATGAGGTAGATGCTACCCAACTTGCCCACGGTCAGCTTGCCTGTGACTCTGCCTGGGCTTTGATTGCAAAGCCAGGCTCACCTGTGTGGTGACTCACGCCTATTCTGGGGCCCAAACAGGGTACTGGATGTGGGATACTTAGATGCCATAGAATGCCACCCAGATGTGAAGCCCACCTCTCCAAACCCCCTCCTCAGCCCCTATGGGGTCTGTCTGAGTTGTTATCATGTTTTGGACGGAAGGCTCATCGCGATCACCAGGCTGTGGAGCACGGAGCCCTTTCTCGGGAGAAATGTGTCAGATCCTGGCGGGTGAGGGCGAGTCGGGGTGGGGCTCCAGAGCAGGGCTCAGTGGGAAGTTGAATCCCGGACAGGGGTCTGGAGTTTGTCCGACATAGGACTGTGCTTGTGTGAATGCGTGAGTGGAGGAGCGGCGACTCTGTGCTGTGAGTGTTTCTGAGGGAGCATGTGTGTGTTTTGGAGTCTTTCTCTGTGCCTCTGTACCGCTCTACACAGAGAAATAGAAATGTTGAGGTGTGTGTGTGGGGGGGGTGCAGAAACAGATTAGTGAGAGAACAAATGGAGGAATGAAGGGAACACGGACACAGGGACACACATGCTCCCCCCACACACACACATGTTCAGAAACACTCAGGTGACACACAGAAATGCATCGGCAGTTTCCCTGTGTGCCTTCTTGAGTGGGATGGCCTATCCCTCGTATGTGGGTATGCGCCTGTGTGTGTGACCGGCCTCAGAAACAGCATGATAGGTCTGTGGAGCCCATGGAAACACTAACATGGACACTCAGACACAACGTGTCTTTGCACGTATATTCCTGTGTATGCGTGTGTGTTCCTGTGTGTTTTTCTGAGTATATGTGCACATGTGGGAGACAAAGATGTGGGCACATGCTCCGAGAACACGCGCAGAGCACCTGTACCTGTGTCTGTGTCAGAGTCAGAAGGAAGGGGCACCATTATTGAGCTGGGAGGGGGGAGGCTGGGAGAAGGCCAGCGGCAGGCATCCTGGTCCCGCTCTGTCTCTGGGTACACAGACCCAGCGCTCCTGTCCTCTCCACGCAGGATGGTGGGGTGTGGGTGGTGCTGCTTTCCCCAGGGGGTCAGCAAGCACTGGGGAAGCCCCTGAGGTATGCCAGCTCATCCCAGACTGTGGGGGGATCTCACAAAAGATCCACTCCGCCTCTAGCAAAGCCACAGTCCCCCAGGTGGTGGCCGATGGGAAGCTCTCCACGATCACCAGGCTGTGGAGCACGGAGCGAAGAGACCCTCCCGGGTCAAACCCTGGCTCCCCCCTTTCTGGCTATACAGATGTGAGCGTGTCGCTTAACCCCTGAGCCTCGTGTCCTCGGTGTTGAAGCAGGGAGAGCAGGAGCATCCACATGGTGGGTTGAGACCACGCTCAGGCAGACCCTCCTTCTCCAGCAGGTTTTAATTGAACACCTACAGTGGCTGGGCCTGTTCTCGGCCCAGGGGCTTCAGCAGTGGGCAAAACAACATTCTGTGTCCTTGCGGAGCTTACCGTCTTTGTGGAGAAAGCTGGCCAATAAATCAGGAATGCGCCCTGTGTTTGGAAGAAAGCCACAGCATGGCCACGGGGCAGAGAAAGCCAGGGGGTGGTCAAGGAAGGTCTCGGAGAGGGTGATGTGCCATCACGGAGTGGAGGCCATGGATTGAGCTCCTGCCCAAGGGGAGGGAATAGCAAGGGGAGAGGACTGTTTGTCTTCATTAAAACCTTGTTGTTCTCCCATTTACAGCTGGGGAAATGAGGCACAGAGAGGCTGAGTAATTTGCCCAAAGCCTCACAGCCGATGAGAAAAAGATCCAGGATTTGAACCTGGGCAATCTGGTTTCAGAGCCAGTAGCCTCAATCAGTGGTCCTCTATGGAGGGTGACTGTTGCCCCTAGGGAATGTTTTGCAATGTCTGGAGATGTTTTTGATTGCCACACTGGATTGGAGGGTGCTACTAGCATTTACTGGGTAGAGGCCAGGGTTACCATTAGACTTTTACAGTGCACAGGACATCCCTGACAACAAAGCAATATCCCATCCAAAACTGCCCGTTGTGCTGGGGTTGACAAGAGTATGGCCTATAGTAGGTGCTCAATAAATAGTAGCTGCAGAAGAGGAGGAGAAAGGATTTGGAGAAGGTTGCAGGGGAGACATGACTTCCAATTCAAAGGGGAGAGAGAGGCAGTCCATGGAAATGAATCCATCAGGTGAGAGAACACATGTGATACTGATTATGGGGTGGGTATGAATGACAGACTGCCCCCTGCAGGCTGGGTGCAGGTGAGGCCAGTGGTAGGAGGAGGTTGTTGGGTTGGGGGTGGGACCAAAGCTGGCCGCCACCAGCCCCTGAAATGCTAACCAGATGTCTGGCCTCTCTGTCCTCTCCCACCCTGTGTCTCTCTCCTCATTTCCCGCTGCCTCTCTGCCAAGAAGGGGACAGCCGGAGGCTGAAGGGGGCCATTCAGAGGAGCACGGAGACGGGCCTGGCGGTGGAGATGCCCAGCCGGACGCTGCGCCAGACCAGCCATGAGTCCATCGAGGACAGCATGAACAGCTACGGATCGGAGGGCAAGTGAGTGTGAGCCCGGCGCGCCCCCAGGCCTCCTGGCTCTCGGTCTTCCCTGGCATGGGGCGGGAGGGTCTCAGACTTTGAGGGGCATTGGCTGAGGGTTCCCACACTGTCCTGTCTTCAGAAGGGAGGCGATGAAGCAAGGAAGCTCTGAGGAAGACCAAGGACAGCCAGACTCTGGTGCCTGACTGCCTAGATTTGAATCCTGGCTCCACCACTCATTGGCTGTGTGACCTTGGTCAGGTCATCTCTCTGTGCCTCAGTTTCCTCATCTGTAAAATGAGGATAAATACTAACATTAAAGGGGTGTTAGGAAGACTAAATGGGTTCGTTTTTATAAAAAGAATAGGACAGTGCTCAGCCTCCACCTTGGCTCCCCGAAATTTTGGGCCCTGCCTGGCGGCTCAGGGTTTCTGCTGGCTGAAAGCCTTCCCACCTCCAGCCCCTCTTAAACTGGGCATCTCTGGCCTCTGTGAATGACCTCACCTTGGCAGATGCTGCCGTTCCACCCACCCCCTAGAGAGACTTTCCGGAGGGCGAGAAGAGGAGGAGGACCGGCGGAAGGGAGAGGAGGAGGAGGAGAAGGGAACAAATGTTTTCTTTAACCTGAAAAACTTGGCAAGGCCGCAAAACTTGGAGGAAGATATTCTGGGCATCTGGGTAGTAGTAGGTCCCTGCTGAGTTTCAGGGGGTCAGGAGGTTTGAGTCCTAGTCCTGGCTCTGCCACTTACCCAAGTGGCCATGGGCATGTTCCTTGGCCTGTCGAAACAGCAGGAGGCCAGCAAACATTTCGTCTGTTGGTTTGAGGACCAGGTCACGGGAGGGTAGTGTGGTGCCGTGAGCAGTGACAGTAAGTCAAACCCATATTCCCATTTCATAGAACAGGAGATGAAGGCCAATCAACTTTCTCCGAGGGGAGCAGCATGGGAGGGTAATAAAGTTGTTGTGAGGACTAAGTGAGTTAATAAATGTGAAAGCACTTAGAATAGTGACTGACACATAGCAAGTGCTGTTATTATTCGCAGTCATGGTTGTTTGTTGTTGACTTAGCTGCTGTAATTTGGATATTCTGCTCCTCAAGGTCAGATGCATCTTAATGGATACATTGAACCACCCTAAACAAAATCGTGTCTATAAAGTGCTTAGCACAGGATAAATGTTGGCTTTATAATTATTAAAAGATTTTAGATGTGGCCGGCATGGCTCAGTAGTTGAGGGTCGACCTATGAACCAGGGGGTTACGTTTTGATTCCTGGTCAGGTCACATGCCTGGGTTTTGGGCTTGAATCTCCAGTGTAGGGCGTGCAGGAGGCAGCCAATCAATGATTCTCATTATTAATATTTCTGTTTCTCTCTCCCTCTCCCTTCCTCTCTGAAATCAATAAAAAAAAATGTATATATATATATATTTTAAAAAGGAGGTCTTGAGCCCAGTTGAGGGAAGATTGGGTGGTTTGGAGGATGTAGGGTCCAGTAGAAGGCAGAGTCTTGCCCGCCTGAGAGGGGCTGAGCTCAGCCAGGTGCTGCCACCCTGCTCAACACCTGGCTGAGGAAAGGAAGGTGAAGGGACAGGTGGGGACCTTGAGCTGTGGTTGGCCTCCTCCTTTTACTGGAGGTATTTTAGGCACTGGCAGGACCCAGATTCCAGACTCTGAAACAGGAGGGGGTGTGACCATCCTCCTCCTGGGCTCCTGCCAGCCTAGCCCAGGCTTATAGGAAGCCAACATGCTTGAGCAGCTCCCAGCCTGTGGCCCTGGGAGCTTCTGGGTCTGTCTGCCCCAGCCACTGGATCACCAGGCTTGTGTGTTCCTGCAGGTGGGCACAGGGCTGCTCCCATGTGGATTTTTATTTCAGCAAATGGGATCAGCCACTTACAGTGTACAAGACAATTGGGCTGTGCACTTTGGGGACCCTGCCTTCTTCTGACGAAGCAACTAGCAGTGGTGAGAACTGCAAAGGACAGGCATAGAGAACTGGGGAAATGTTGCATCCTACCCAGGTTTTGGGGCTGGGGAAGGGGTGCGTGTGGGTTGGGCCACTTGTTAGTGAAGATCCTTGGGCTCCAGATTATCCTATACCAGGTTACAGTGGCTTTGTCCCTCGCTGTGTGACCTTGGTCAGGTCATCTCTCTGCCTCAGATCCTTGGGCTCCAGATTATCCTTTACCAGGTTACAGTGGCTTTGTCCCTCGCTGTTCCGGATATAGTCCCACAGCATTGGCATCCCCTGGAAGCTGGGTGGAAATGTAGCATGTCAGGCTCCATCCCAGACCCTCTGAACCAGTCTGCCTTTAACAGGGTCCCCATGTGCACATTAACCCTTTGAGTGCCAACCAGTATCCTAGGAACTATGCTAAAATTGCCAAGGCATTTTTGCTGATTTTACAGCAGTTTAGGAAAAAAATTATGAAAATTAGGCAGATAAATGTCAGTGGTCAATTTTAGAACTACAAACATTCGGCATCATAAGTAATCTGCACTTAGGTGCCATCTGTCAATAAAGAGTGAACTACTAGCATCTAATAGTGACACTGCAGGAGGAGCGCGATAGCGCTCCCCGCACTTATGGGGAAAGACATGTGGAGTGCGATCATGCTCCCCGGCACTCGAGGTTCAGGTTGAGCAGCACTGGCTCAACAGTGATGCTCTAGAGCTAACACTTACTGAGCACTGGCTGTGTGCAGACACTGTGCTAAGTGCTTGTACACAATGACTCCTCTCATTCTCAGAGCAACCTGATGACACTGGAACTGTTACTATCCCCATTTTACAGGCAAGAAAATGGAGGCCAAGAGAGGTTAATTAACTTGCCCAAGGTCACAGAGCCAGTAAGTGGCTTCAAATGCTGGGATTCAAATCTAGGCATTTGGAGTCTGCCCTTAACCATTACACTGGACCAGCGGTTCTCAACTTGTGGGTCGCGACCCTTTGGGGGTCGAATGACCCTTTCACAGGGGTCGCCCAAGACCATCAGAAAACACATATATAATTACATATTGTTTTTGTGATTAATCACTATGCTTTAATTATGTTCAATTTGTAACAATGAAAATACATCCTGCATATCAGATATTTACATTATGATTCATAACAGTAGCAAAATTACAGTTATGAAGTAGCAACGAAAATAATTTTATGGTTGGGGGTCACCACAACATGAGGGACTGTATTAAAGGGTTGTGGCATTAGGAAGGTTGAGAACCACTGCTCTAGACTCTTTCCCTTATTTAATGGATGCATCTATTTCTGGAGATAGATGATTCCAGGGTGGTTTGATGGCTAAATTATGCCATAAAGGGCCTAGAGTCCCTCCATCGATTCCCTCCATAGGCCTCAGTATGTTGGACTGCTCCTGGTTCATCCCTAAAGCTAGGAAGGGCTTTCTTTCTCTGAGCCTCTTTCTACCTGATGGAAAATTGAGGTTCTGAATGTCAAATATAGAAGGGAATAGATGTGGGTTTAGTAACCAGCCACGCTCCCCCCACCAGCAGGCCCATATCCCCCAGACAAAGGACAGGGTTCAAGCCACGAGAACAGTATCTCCCTGGACCCCCCTGAATCCTGAGATACTCCCTGGTGACTGGGTTCCTCGTGACCCGAGACATGGATTCGAGTGCAGGTAGGTCACCGGAAGTGATTCCAGATAACCGTGGTGGAGGATCGCGTGCGAGAGACAGGACAGGGGGATACCTGCACCTTGAGAAGCCAGCTGCCACTGTGGGCAACCTGAGTCCAGTCCTCATGGGGACTCGGAGCCAGTGAGGAGCATGTGCCTGAGAGTCACCCCGGCAGCGAGGGAGTGAAGTATCTGTGCTCAGGCTCATCAGTTACTAGTTGACGGCTGCTCTGGTTCACCCTCCTGCCCTTCCTGCGCACAGGGGAGGCCAGAGACAGTCCTCAGGGGCCAGACAAGCGCATGTGCTGCAGTTAGAAGTCAGTGTGACGTGGTGAAGGCCAGGAGATATTGGCGGGCGGGTTGGCAGTCTGCTCCCCTGTCTGAGTGCACAGCACCATGTCCTGCTGCCCACGCCAGAAACCTGGGGTTCTCCTAGACGGCTCCCCTTCTCTCACACTCCAGATCCAACCCATAATTGGGCTCTCTTCTTTCACTTCTAGTTATCTCTTGACTCCACCCATTTCTCCCCATCCCTTCCCCTGTGGAGGAGCCTATCACTCCTGCCTGGACACTTGCAAGTCCTCCTTTGGTCTGAGCTCCACAGCCTGTCACTCAGCACTTATTTCCTCTGGCCTCTGCCAGCCTCTCCCAGCCCCCAGCCTTGTGCCACCACTCCAGCACCCTGAACCTCCTACACTTCCCAGTCTCACCTCCAGGTCTTTCATTCGTTGCTCCCTCCTCCTCGCACCCCCTTTCCTATCCCTATTCCCACTGCATCCTCTGACTCACCCTCCTTCAGACCTCAGCTAAGAACTGGCACATAAGCTTCATCTCATGTGCCAGCTCTAGTTAATTGATAGTGGCTCCCTGGAGTGCTGTGTTGAGAAGGATTCTGGAGCCCAGTCAGGCTTGGCAGGTGTGCTGAGGTTGATTAGCAATGTCTGCCCTGGGCGTGGGCAGGGGAAGTGGAACAGCATGGTCTGCCCTTCCTCTGACTGTATCAGCAGCTTCCAGTTCATCCTTCCTCCATCACAGCACCTACCACCCTGTAGTAATTATCACGTGTGTGTCTGTCTGTCCCACTAGACACTGAGTTCAGTGCCTACTCACCAGGGGGCCTGGCCCACAGATGATATGCTGCAAATTTTGTTGAATGATGGGTAGGTACCATGAGCCGAAGCATGTACACATTTTACTTTCCCCACTCCTTCCCAGTCTTCTTCATCACACAGAATCGAGGCCTCAGCATCCTCTCGGTAAACCCAATCTCTCCGAGCTGGCTGCCAGCGCCCCTCCTGCTCTTTCCCTCTGCTTCTGGCTGTCCTGAGGTGTCTGGGTCATCAGCATCCAGCTCCCTGGTTGTCTGGGTCACTGTGCCCACAGCTCTA